CAAAGGAGTTTCTCATAGCCATATACTGGATACGACAATATTTATGGATAACACTGGCACCATACGTTGTACTGATTTTTCTTTAGTGCCAAATTTGTTGGAATTGATAGCAGGCCCTGGGCAACGTTCGACAAAAGGCGACTTGCCAGCTTTGGGTGCACTAGTAGAGAGCTTATTGACTACACATACATTTGAGATGCGTGATTTTATAGAAAAGTAAATGAATATGTTATAGGATATATTAACAAATTTAACTTATAGCTTTACCTATTGTAGATGCAATTCTGATCGTACCTTATCAGCATCCGAGTTATTGGAACATCCATTTCTGCGTTTTGCTTCATTCATGCATGATGATAAGGACAACGGTTATCTTTCTGTAGCTATTAAAAATCCAACACAGCATAATGCAGACTTGGGAGTTGGTAATCAGAACAAAACTCGAAATTTAGCAGTACCCGCAGCTGATGTAGCTATTATGGCATTGCCTACGAGCCAGTCACGTTTACGTACTGAATTCGAAGTGCTAACGTACTTGGGTAAAGGTGCATTTGGAGATGTATTAAAAGTGCGCAATATACTCGATAATCGCCAATATGCTATAAAACGCATACCGTTGCCAGCTCGCAGTCGTCAATTATACAAGAAAATGACTAGAGAAGTAGAGCTGCTATCACGTTTAAATCACGAGAATGTTGTGCGTTATTTTAATAGTTGGATTGAGAGTGTAAATGAGGAAGATGTAGATGAAGAAGTGGTAAAATTTGTGTATATGAAAAAAGATTTCAAACTGCATTAAATTGGTCTAAACTGTTTTCAGGATAAATTAATACCTGCGGATGGATCTGTAAGTCATGACAGTATTAAACCGCCTAAATCTCCACATGGGATACCAGTCGACGAGATAGAAGACAGCTCTTCAAGCATGTGGAATGGTTTTATGTGAGTGAAGAAATTAAAAATGATGATATGATGATAAATAATTACTTATTTATTTACTACAACTTATGTAGGCCGAATATGGATACTTCCGACTCTGATGGCATAGAATTTATTGATTCAGATGGACAAATAGCGGTTTACAACGATGATGATGATGATGATGATGATGCTAATGCTTCGGAATCTCAAAAAAAAGCTGCATCGCCTAGACCACAAATTCAAATAATGTATATTCAAATGGAATTTTGTGAAAAGTTTACATTAAGGTTTGTTTGTTGTGCTCATTCTTATAAATTAAAATCTAAGCTTATAGTTCCTTTTAATATAGGACAGCAATTGATAATAATCTATTTGAAGATACTGATCGTGTTTGGCGTCTATTTCGCGAAATTGCAGAGGGTTTATCACACATACATCAACAAGGCATAATACATCGTGATCTAAAGCCCGTAAATATATTTTTGGATTCCCATGATCAAGTAAAAATTGGAGATTTTGGACTTGCTACAACTAGTTTTTTGGCTTTACAATCACAACGTAAGTGTCAATATAGTTTATCAAAGACAATATAGAAATGTTTTATGAATTACTATAGCTGATCAAACGACACACACTTCGCATATTACTTCCATTGAAGACGGTACTGGTACGGGTAAAGTTGGCACCACATTGTATGTAGCTCCGGAATTAACAGAACATGCTTCCAAGTCAACCTACAATCAGAAAGTAGACATGTATACATTGGGTATAATTCTATTCGAAATGTGTCAGCAACCATTCAGCACTGGCATGGAACGTATACAAACTATGGTTGAATTGAGAAGTCCAGCAATTATCATACCTAATGCAATGTTGGAAAACCACAAAAATGATAAAACAATCAAGGTGAATATGTGACTGATTAACGAGAGTATAGTCATATCGAGTGATTTAATTGAAAGCTTTTAACAAGAGATTTAATGTTAATCGCTTGTTGCTAATAGAGAGAATTAAAGTTTTTTTTAATTTAATTTATATTATTTTTAAGATACTTCGTTGGCTACTTAATCATGAGCCAGCAAATCGGCCAACTGCAGAGGAGCTACTTGCTTCTGATTTGGTACCACCTGCTCAACTGGAAGCGAGCGAATTGCAAGAAATGCTACGTCATGCGCTGGCTAATCCACAAAGTAAAGCTTATAAGCATATTGTGGCACGTTGTTTAAGGCAGGAAAACGATGAAGTGCTTGAGCATACTTATCACTTAGGCAGTAGTCGTGCAATGAAATCATGGAACTCTCATATAGCTTGCGACGGGCTTGTATCGCTCAATCCTGTGATAGAGTTTATCAAAGCAAAAGTGATTGGTTTATTCAGAAAGCATGGTGCAATTGAAGTGGACACTCCTCTACTTTCACCACTGTCAACGCGTACAAATCTTTGGTGTAATCCCGTCAAGTTAATGACACATTCCGGTTGCGTTGTAGTGCTACCCAGCGACTTAAGAACACAATTTGCGCGTCATATAGCAATGAGTGGAGTTAATATGATACGTCGCTACTGTGTGGATCGTGTTTACCGTGAAGAAAAGGTGTTCAACTTTCATCCGAAACAGAATTATGAATGTGCTTTTGATATAATCACACCGAACACAAATAGTTATTTGGTTGATGCAGAATTGCTGACCGTTGCTTACGAGATTACAAACGAAATACCGCGTTTACGTGAAAAAAATGTGGCGATACGTATGAACCACTTGAATTTGCTACGTGCCATTTTACTTTATTGCAATGTGCCGAAAAATATGTACAGTGAACTATTTGGAAATATTACCGATTTTATCGAGGGTCGCATCTCAAAATTTCAGCTGCACTCAACAGTCACTGTTATAATGGAAAAATCCAAATCGTCTGCTTCTACAGTTATAGACTTATTGCTATCAAACTTTCTAATTAGCGGCTCTAGAAGCGGAGTGGATGATTGTTCGTTGCGCACATTGGTGCGAGGTAAAGGTGAAACGGCTTCGTTAGCTAAGGGCGCTTTACGCGAACTGGAATCTATAGTGGCAATTGCAAAAAGTTTCGGTGTAAAGGTATGATTTGAACAACTCAGGATTTACATTATCTCATTTTTAAAATGATTTTTTTCTAGTGTCCTATACACATCTGTGCCGGTTTGCCAATAAGTTTTGAACGCGCAAATAACGGCAGCATTGTGTGGCAAATGGTTGCTGATCTGAAACGTAATCGCGGATCAAGGCCATCTGTGCTCGCTGTGGGTGAGCGCTATGATAATATGTTGCAGGAATTTCAAAAAGAAGCGCAAAGTTTCAATGCAAACATACCTTTGCGTAAGATTGGTGGCGCTGGCTTATCTTTTTCACTCGACAAACTCATTGCTGCAGTGGATGTGGAAGATACTAAGGAATGTCGTGCTATAGATGTAGGTGTTTGCATTAGTGGTTCACGTCCACCTCTGAAGGATGTTGCATATATCATGCAAGAGTTGTGGTCTAGTGGTATACGTTGCGGCATTGTGGAGTCAGGAGTTGCTAGTGGTGATGATTTGCAGGACTTGGCTAAGCTAGGAGCATTACATTTTATATTGGTGGATGAAAATGGTGGTTTACGTGTTCGTTCCTGGGAACGCGACAGGTTTCAAGAGAAACATGTGACTCGCAATGAACTTGGAGAATTTATACAGAAGATGCTACGTAATGATGCAAACAATACCGCTACCACGGATTATGTTAGTCAAATGTCAAATGCTGGTAATAATAGTGGACGCGGAGATGGTATTTTAAATACATCAGGTGGAAATAGCAATCAAAAAATGAGTTACACAATAAGTGGTCTAAGCCAATTGCCATACGTTCAAACAGTATTCTTAATACAGGATAAACTTACTGCCAATTATCGCAGACGCTGTGAAAATCAAGTAAGTTAAGATCACCGAATTAAGGTTAGGGTTTGATTATTGTTATTTTAATTAAATTATTGCGAAATACTTTTCAACTTAATTGTGTTTGTAGTCCTGTAAAACAAGGACTTACATGCATAAGGTAACTAGCACAATGGGATAGAATGAAATAGGGGCAAGGTAGGAGTAAGAAAAAGGATAAGTAGATGTGCTGAACCTAAGGAGGGTATAGTTGAAGCAACCACTTGAGGACTTAAAAACTGAAACGCTACTTGCTTTGAAAATAATTCCGAAAGTGGACAGCAAGATGGTACTTTTAAGCCGATTTAATAGATTCAGAAAAATAAAAGTTATAAACAATTTAACCTTTTTTTAAGAAAGCATTGTTAACACATTAGAGTTGTGCATATTTTTGAACTTATATGTAAAATGACTTCTGTAATAGATTTATTAGATTTCTATGCATTCACACAAGTCTTCCATTCAACATATTTGTTAATTAATAAAAATATTTCCTTAAGGCTATACAGCAAATGAATACAATCTTGACGCAATTCACCAAAAAAGCAAACGTCACAGTGCTAATTGTAGATTTACCAAACTCCGTATTGAACGCTATTGTCGGTGCGATTAATCCTCGTACTGTCAACAAAAAAGAGACTGAACACGAAATAAACATTGTGATTGAAAGGTAATTAACAAAATATATAATTTCTTTTATAAATATTAAATATTTCGTTTTTCTTTTATAGATTTCCTAAGCACAAACGTTATGTTCTGACAATTTTAGAAGAAATTGACGACCTAGTAACAGATGCGAAGACATCCATTGTGGCCTTATATAGCATTTTGGACTCATGTTATCGTGTAATTATATAAATTAGATACTTTTACGTAATGTTACCTATTTTATAAAATGATTTAATATAATTTTGTAATGATTGAATTTAAAGACCTATATGATTTTGTCAATTACATTTTCTTTAATTTAAAATACTAATATTTTTATAACAAATATATTGATTAGAATAATTTCTACGGAACTAAAACTAAAACTTATATAAAATAACTGTTTAAATTATTTTAAGAAACAATAAAGACTATATGTTGTTTTTTACCTAACAATTTGAATCTTTACATAAAAATATACAATTCTTTCCTATAATTTATCATATATTTATAAATATAATATATATAAATAACGCTACGTATTTTCATTTGCTTTATTTAAGCTACGTAGTATGCCAGCCGTAGTTGATTGTAAAACTTTACGTGAAAGTCGCATAAATCCTGATACAGGATCACGTCCAAAATATTTAACTTGAATTTCTTGACCAATTTCTAAACCCAAAGCGGAGGGATGAGCAATCTAAAACAATTTAATGAATATGAATATATTAGTTAAGCACTAAAAATAATATCATTAGATTGATTTACCTTTCTTTGGTCTAATTGAGAATTATGTAGCAATGCTGGTGGCATATTAGGATATAAACTAACCATTACACCCGTATCTCGTATTTCTGTGATTTTAGCAGTATAAATACCACCAAACTCTAAGTCTGGTATGGTGTCCTTCACAAGTAAGGCATCGATTTGTTCTTTTGCCTCATCCATAGCTGCTTCAGATGGTGCGAATAGGGAAAACGAAGTTTCATCTTCTGCTGTTATCGTGGTACCAGTTTCCAAATAAATGCGTTTAATATTCATGCCACTTGGACCAATTAATTTTACACGCTGTTGTGGCTCGATCGATATGCGTTCTGTAACTGGCCAGCAATCCTTACGATATTTTCTATATAATATTAATAATTAATTGAAGATGTTTATTTTTTTTAAATTATCATAAGTAACTTTTTAAGTTAATACTTAATTAATTATAATATAATTATAATATGTATACAATATATATTTTACAAACCAAGTTTTAAATTAATTTGAAATGGGACTAACCTTGGTTCTCTTATAACTTCACCCATAATATCTAGTATTTTTCCTTTTGCGTCTGTAGCTTTTTGTAAAGATTCCATAACTACTTTTAATGGTATACCAGGAACTTTTAGATCTGCTTGTATGGCAGTAAAGCCCTTACGTGTGCCTGCAACTTTCATATCCATATCGCCCATATAATCCTCAATACCCAAAATATCAGTTAATATACGATAATCTTTCATGTGTTTAGTGTCATTATTTTCATATTTGGTCACTAAGCCAATAGCTACACCAGCGGCTGGAGCAACAACAGGTACCCCGGCATCCATTAGAGCCAATGAACCACCACATACAGTAGCCATCGAGCTTGAACCATTCGATTCTAACACTTCGGAAGTTAGACGTACTGTAAAAGGATAATTGTGTGGTAGCGTAGGCAATAAAGCACGTTCAGCTAAAGCACCATGACCAAGCTCACGCCGTCCAACAGGTCCAATACGTCCAATTTCACCTGTAGCATACGGTGGGAATTCATAATGTAGCATGAAATTTTTGGCCTTTAAACCACTAAATATAAGAAAAATATTATTTGTGTTTACATATTAATGTGTATAATAAATACGTTTCTAAGGCTGATAGGGTATCTAACTTCATAGCGCTTTCCTGAGAATCCAATGATACAGTACAAAACACTTGCGTTTGTCCACGCTGAAACAGTGCAGATCCATGTAACGGTTTGTACAAGTCAACCTAAAATTGTATTGAAAAGAAGTTCAGCAAATCTACAACAATAAAAAAATATAAAAATCGAGTTTTTCATTCACCTGACAACTGATGTTTCTGAGATTATCGAAACTTCTGCCATCACACCTTTTATTTTCTTCAAATATTAAATTTCGAAATATGTTTTTACTAATCTTATTAAATTCATCTCCAATGAGTGTTGGTTCAATATGAGGGAATGAAGACCACACTTTATCGATAACGTTTGTACGCACTGCATTTACCGCATTATCCCGTGATATTTTGTCATGCATTTGATCTTGAAATATATCACGTAAACGCATTTCGCACATAGTTTTCACGGCTTCACTTACTTCCTCATCCACTGTTGGTAGTGGTTCCAATGGACGTTTCGTACGACCATTTGCTTTTTGTAAACGTTCTATTTCATTCACGATGTACTGTGCTTCTTGTGTGCCTTTTTTAATAGCCTTCAGTAGATCTTGCATCAATACTACGTTACCCTTTCCTTCTAACATAACGACGAGATTATGTTTTGTAGCTGAAATTACTAAGTCCAAATCGGAGGTTTGCAACTCTCTTCTCGTTGGATTTACAATAACCTCACCATCGCTAAGTCCTACACTGCAAGTTCAAACTATTAATTTTTTTTAAATTTCTTTAACATTATTTATAATACGAACCGCACTGCGCCAATTGGACCATTCCAAGGTATATCACTTAGACTTAATGCCACAGATGCTGCATTTATCGATAGTACATCAGGTGAAAAAACTGCGTCCATTGCTAACATATTGCAAACAAGCTGTGTTTCTGTACGGAACTCTGCTGGAAAAAGCGGTCGCAATGAACGATCAATCAGTCTTGCTGATAGTATTTCTTTTTCAGATGGCCCAAGTTCACGACGCATAAAATTCATTGGTATGCGTCCAGAGGCGGAACCTTTTAGCCGATAATCCACTACTAATGGCATAAAGCTTGCACTGGGAGCTTGTTTTGGTTTTGCTACAGCCGTCACCATAACTGCTGTGTCGCCCATTTGACATACCGCTGTGCCATTAGCAAATCGTGCATACTTCCCAGAAGTTATGTTAAGATTTCGTCTATAAAAATTTAGGAGGAATTCAAGATTTTCAATACATCAAAATTTATATTAGCTTTTTTACCCGTTAGAGAATTTTACTTCTGCATTCGGACATTCACTTGACGTAGTTTGTGTGGCATTGCGGCAAGGAACTCTTAAATATTTTAAACGGTAATTCAATAATTTTAAATATTTTTTTGTAAAAATCATAATTATTGTGTCTCGCACCGGCAGAATATGTTGCGCCAGTTAACAGCTGATATTACAGCACATGTGTTGATGACGGGGTGGCAGTGTAGGCAAAAAGTAGTAGTTGAATAATAAAGTAAAACGAATTAAAAATATTAAAAATATTTAAGAATATTTTATAATAGGTATTATCTTGATTTTTTAGATATTTGAACTTTAAAAACAATGTTTCAATTAATAATATATCTATTATACACAGTTATTACAAAAATATATTGAAAACTTAAAAAGAAAAAAATTTAAAAATAATATTTATATAAATTTTTCAACTATTTACACTTCAACTAGTTTTAAAGAGAAAAAAGAATATATAATTATTGGTTCTTATTTATTGATATATTCATATGTTTTATTAAAACAATAACAGCAATATTAAAAGAGTTTCCAATAATTGTATTTATCTATCTAGGTCAGAGTATGTTGGGATGGCAGACTCGTCAATCAAAGCTCAATTGAGTACAAATAATGTTTCGTTGTGGCACCACAAAACCAAGACCTATAGGACAATCTGAAAGTTGAAACACCAAAACCTCTAGCGCACAAACAGTGTCCTTTTGAAAAATCGATTCCCATTCAAGTAGAAGAAAACAACCTGTCAAGTCTATAACTTGGCTATGACTGTAAATTTTAAAGAATAACTTAAAACAATTTTAAATCTTTTACTAGCCAATGATGGACACATGCACATGGGGTGCAGTACATTTCTCTTCTCACTTGCCGAACGTTGAAGAGTAGTCCTTATCTTATTATATACCTGTTTAATATGTAATTTTTGTTATAGATGAAGATGATGAATGGTGCGATAGTCTATTTATTATTTAAAGTCTATGTAGTGAAACACGTGTTGGGAATGAATTATTATTGCTTCTCTTCCTTTTCTTGATGATATTTGATTATTTTGAATATAAACTTATATGAAAACAAATATATTTCACTTTAAGCAACTTCTATTTGGTAAATTCCATTTTACAAATGTTTTTTCCAGAAGATATTAATGACTTCTTAAAATGGGTTTGTAGTGAATCATTAATATATGTGTAATAAAAGTAATATGATTTTTGGATTAATGTAGGCAAAAAGAACATATGCTCATATATTAAAAATGTATAAGTACGTAACATATTTAGAAATTTTCAGAATCGCTTTTACTTAAAAAGTCTTACATGTTGAATAACATTAACTGTAACCGATTAGTAGAACTTCTGTTAATTTTGTTAGTAATACAGTATTAGACCATGTGTTAGATAATACAGACTAATAACAATTTCCTATCTTTTTTTCTAGATAAAATATATATATTGTAAAATATGTATATATATATTGTATATATTTAAAATTAAAATTAGTAAATGATAGATGCTGTTGGATTTTGAGGGTAGCTACTTATTTCCTATACTCCAACTATTATTTACAGTACTAGATTCAAAAGGTGACACAGACCACTCAGAGAAATCTAATGCCCTCAAAGTTGTCTGATTAAGGTGAATTACAATTACTATTATATCTGTATGTTATCCTTGTTAAACCATTGGAATCTTCTAAGCAGAACTGACAAATCCACTTTCAGTATCTCTACCAGGGTGTTCTCCAGTATATTGAAGCCGGTTTGTCTATAATCCGAGACGAAGACGTAGAAAATGATTGATGGACTCTGTCTCTTTTTCATCGTAGCAATACCTGTAGAGTCAATTTATCAAAATTCGTCACCGTTGAAGTATCGGTTATAATGAATGAGTGCCCAATTAGTACTCCAATAAATACACGAACTAAAGGTTTGGTAAAGTTCCAAAGGTTTTTCATTGAAATCCATTCTGGAAGGTGAGATTGAATGAACATGTTAGTTAGTTCTGGATTCAATAACAATCACCAGAACACATATTTAAGTCAATATATGTGTGTACATCTTTAAAGGGTATATAACTTCCAACTTTCGAAAAATCCAATTATCTTGATTTTCAATCGAATTAAATTTTTTTAAACAGTCAAACAAGAATTCAAGAAATAAAAATGTAGCCACTTAAGACTATATATTTCGCATAAAAGACACAATGAAATGTTAGCAAATTAAAAAAAATATGTGTGAAATATAATGTCATAACCATTTTCATCCTTTCCAAGAAACGTTGAAGTACGTGTTGTGGACGTGTACAAATGTAAAAATAAAAGCGCATGCTTTGTTTGCATTCAGGACACATCTAAATTCAGTTCTGTCAGATGCAATTTCTGTTTTAAAATGGATGCAGCAGCTAAAGTGGACAGATTTATGTTTTCAACTTATGTGTAAACTATGTATCCTACGAGTTGCGAGTTGCGGGATGAAGCGAAATTTTAAAGTACCGAATTTATAAGGAAACATTTTGATGCATTGTTTCTTAACACTGTACAGAAGTTCTTTTAAACAAGTTTAAAATAACAAATAATGTATTGAAGGGATACAATACATTGAGAAGTAGTCTTATATAGAACTACTTAAAAGAAAGTGGTTCTTTATATGCACTTGACATATATATTACTCGTAAATGGTGGTACCGATTTTTGGATTTTAGAACTTTAGTATTCCTACATTCTATGTCTTGAGACACATTTTTATTTTTATACAACATTCTCTGATGATGGTCTTAAACAACCGAAACGTCGGAAATATAGATTAAATAAATAAAATAATAAATAATTTTTTATAAAAACCAAACCAAAAAATTTGACAATTAAACCCATCACTCATCTATAATAAAAATTCAAAAAACAGTCAGCATATAATTACAAAATGGATTCTTATAATAAATAGAAGATCGTTTTATCTGGTCAGCACATTTTGTATCCAGTTTTATACATGTATAAAAAGTCTATAGAAATTGGCTTTTAATCACATGGGTCGAACTAATTGTTACAGAACGTTTACAATATCGCAATTAACTTGGAAGCAACAAGTGTCTTTTCATACAAAATCCATACAAAAATGTGTTACAATTATTATTTGATAATTGTAAGTGTAAATTTGGTTTTACAGTCAGCAGACATACTCTTAAGTAATAAATCAAAATAAATTAGAAATAATCGAAATATTTTGTTGTAATTATGATAATGAAGAAAAAATGTATTAGTAACTGTGATGCCCATTGTGATGTTTCACTTCTTCAACCTACAAAATACTTTTAGATATTCTTGACTTATTATATAGCACATACACTCTGTCCCATTTAGACGGTTTTGCTCATTATAATAACTAATGAGGAAGATTTACCATGTAAAGTGATTTCATATAAATGAGCTCATTATCAAAAAATCAGCTCATTTCAGGCGAAAATGTCCAATGCAACCCTTAAAAATAAATTTCTTAAAAGGGAAATGACCAATTTGAAACGAAACGAGCCGCAGGAATAAATGTAAAAGTCTAATATCTCTGCTAGAAGTTAACATTAGATAATTGAAGAATGATTTATGATTTTAATTTTCGCTTAATCAGAATCTTAATTCTTGATAGGCTTTTAGTATTGCGCAATTAAATATTGTCTTTGATTAAAAAAGCAAGAATGGAGTCTTCGATAAAAAAAAATGAGTACTCTATGGTCTAGTCTTTAACTGAACAATATTTATTTAGAGCATTTCTGGGATTATAAACGTCTTTTATCTAAGAGCTTCCATTATATTAAATTATAAAGAATGTCGATTCTATTGTGCCAAATATAATGCGATATATTTAATGATTGAATTTTTTTAATTTTTAAAATGATCTCTTTGAATATGTATATGATAGGAATACTATGCTATCTGTATAGCATAGTTATCTTAGTTGTTTATAAAATACCTTTTGTTTAACAGATATATATCATGTCAAAGACAACATTCAGTGCTGTTAAAAAAAAAAAAGGAGATAAGATGTAGCCTTGTTTGAACCAAATTGAAGATATGAGTGGCTTACAGTAATCATTTTCATGTTGAACTCTCCAAGATAAAAGATATATTGGCCGTATTCCAGGTTTTTTAATGCTCAAGTCTGACCTTGATCCCAGACTGGTTATCCAGTTATCCAGTATCCCTGGTTATCCCAGGGTCTGACCCATAACCAAAAATTTACTTCGGGGCTGGGTTTTTTCAGATAAAATGCTAGTTAGACTTTGTTTTTCTTTACGACTGACTAATATCATATCATAATGCAAACTACATAGATTTGTAAATATATATAATTTTCGATTCAAGGGACAGGGATTGCTGTGCTTGGCTATGTGTGTTTACATATAATCTTCGATTCAAGGGACAGAGATTGCTGTGCTTGGCTATGTATGTTTACATATAATCTTCGATTCAAGGGATTGCTGTCCTTGGTTCGACTTATAAATTTATCATATTTTCGCTTGAACTTAATTATTTATGAGCTATACATTTTGCATAGACAATATTACCAAAGGACTGTTATTATCCTAATTTTTATTTTAACATAAATTTAAAGTACAAAATTATTTCAAATTAGGAGTGTTTGAAGTTTGGCGAGGAAAGAAACTCGTACCGACACTGAGACATAAGAAGACATAAGAATATTGAAAAACATTTTTGCAGCAATAAATTATGTAGGAAAATAATAGAAGTTTTTGCTATAAGCAAAAGGCAAATATAAAAAAAAAAAAATAAAAAAAATTGCTGCAAATGTATCTGCAATATTTATACAAAGGATGTATCTACTCGTACCCGTGTTGGGTTCGTACGTACGTGAATGCGCCACATGAGCATCCTTATTTATTTACTTACAACTTAAATAGCGAAAGCGTCTAGACTAGAAATTGAAATTCTGAATTTAAATTTCTGAGCGGAAAACAAAAGAAAATAAATAAATTAATCTTTTGATTTGTTGGCTGCGTTGACATTTTTATTCCAGCACTAATGCCACAATTCAATTCCAATCATCGTAGGCGAAACCTAACATGATTAATGCAGTGTATCCACAGATAAACTCGCTATTGTGAAGCAGTGTTTATACTTGTAGTTGGCTTATATATCGCAAGCTATTGGCATAAGGATTTATTAGTACCATTCTCTGATGGATTGATAGATTGTTAAAAGTAACAATATTTTCACTTTTCGCATTTTCACATTTTCACGTTTTCACGTT